CGTCTGAAAATTCACTTGCAACTAAATCATTAAATGTTACTTTTTTTGGACATTTCCTTTTCTTGCAATTGAATTTTGTTTTCAGGGGTCATTGGATTTAAGTGTCTAATAAATAAATAAATAAATAAATAAATAAATAATCACTGCGGGGAGGGGGGCAATGATAACTTCCTCAATGGCTCAAGGGGGCGTTACTTTCAAAAAGGTTAAGAACCACTGTTCTAGATGGTCATTAGTTGGATTCTTTCCCCCAGTCATAATACGTCTGCATAGTACTTCCTGTATGTTGTGTTGTCATTCTGCCTTCATAGTGGGAATACAGGAACATTAGATTTACTGTTTCACCATTCAGCAGGAAAAATACCTATTTAAGTGTCTTTTTGCCTCTTTATTCCCTGTTTTTTGCAGGATCAAATGCCCATATACATGTGCATATGTCCACTATTTATAGACTAAATCAGAGCTGACAATTCTTGGATGACATTTTGCCTTTTTTGGAGTAATAGTATTAGACCAGTGAGGTTAGTGAAACTGAATGCAACACAGGATGCTAATCTAATTGCATTTTAAAAATACTACAAAATTAGCTTGGTATATACTGTATGAGACATACACACACCCCTTACCTCTATTTTCTTAGTATTTCTTAATGTAGTTGTATATCATCCAATTATATGCTGTCCTGTAGCTCTTTGTTTATTTATTTTAAAAATAAACAATCAGTTGAGAATTGAAATGATATCAAAGATTTAACAAGGGTCCCTCATAGTAGAAGCAATTACAAAAAAAATCATAGTTTTATGTTAGCCATGTTCTTCCTTGTGTCTTCTGTACCTGTGCAGAGGATCATTTGGAACATTCTAGAGCTGAGCACTGTACGCAAGAAAACTACCCCACACTTGCATACCACACATGAACCAGCAAGCCTCAACTTGAGTCTCAGTTCATATTTAGCTATTACCAGAATGACACAGGGTGATATGTATGGATATTTCTTTCCTGTTTTTGCAATAGGATAAGTGATTAGGCTGAAGGCTAATGGGGTGATAACACCCATCCATTGGGCTTTAGGATTGACTAGAGAGATGAATCCAGCCCTTCATAATCAGTCTGGCCTGTTATCTAATAGTGTACACTGTTTTTCTGTTACTCTCAGAAGACCTGTATGTCATATTTAGTATTTCTATGTTGCCTGGAAATTGTTGTGTAATATCACAAATAAAATGTAGTTGTAGAAGGGGTAGCCTGTGCAAGCATTGTAGGTAAAAGCAAAACAGAAATAAAAAGTTAAAAAAAAGACAAAAACATGGTAACCCTTTAAAGACTATTTTTTTTAATGTAAACTTTTGTGGACAAGTCCTGTTCATCAAATGTTCACAAAAACTCATATAAAAAAGAAATTAAAAAATAGTCTTTAACGGGCCATCACTTTTTTTGTCTCTTTTTACTTTTTATTTCTATTTTGTTTTTCAAATAAAAGAGAAGTAATTGCTTATGTAAGGGACGTGGTGGTGCTGCGGTTTAAACCACAAAAAGCCTCCGGGCTGCAAGGTCAAAAGATAAGCAGTTCGAATTGAGTGAGCTCCCATCTCGTGTCCCAGCTCCTGCCAACCTAGCAATTTGAAAGCATGTAAAAATGCGAGTAGATAAATAGATACCACCACGGTGGGAAGGTAACGGCATTCCATGTCTAGTCACGCTAGCCATGTGACCACAGAAATGGTCTATGAACAAACGCTGGCTCTATGGCAGTGGTGGCGAACCTTTTTGGGCTCGCGTGCCCAAACTCTGGGGGGGGGGACAGCGGGCGGTGTGCTGCGGCGGAACCGGAAGTGGCAGCGGCGGAAGGGGGAATCCTGGCATGGAGGTGCGTCAAGGCCCCTCTCTGGATCCGCTGCCAGCACCAGCTGCTCTGGATCCGCTTGCCAGAGTGCCAGCACCACGGCTGCAGCCGCCTTCTCAGGTTTGGCTGTGCGGGCGGGGGGGGGAGAGAGAGAGTAGTGATCTGGTCACTTCTGACTCGTGTGCCGGCAGAAAGGGCTCTGCGTCCCATTGGTTCGCTGTCGCTGCTCTGTGGTTTGGAAAAGGGACTGAGCACCGCCCCCTAGAGTTGAACACGACTGGACAAATTGTAAAAGGGAACTTTTACCTTTATCTTTTAATTGCTTATGTATTTTTATTTCTTCTTTAACGTAAACCCCAAGTAATGTTTAAACTCATATTTTCAAATGGATTAGTATTTTCATATGTTGAAGAGCTCTTGGTACTTCACAATATTCAGATATTAAGATTAACAGAACTCTTGATTGTATGTAATATCATGGATGTAGTAAATGTTTGCAAGCATTTGAATATGGGTAGTATGTGTCACCTTGGTATGTGTTAGATTTGTCCTTAACGTATTGATTTTTTTTCCTTACAGATGTGCTGAAAGACATTATGACACAGCCAAATTTAACTGCAGAGGTATGTTTGTTCCATCACATCACATTATTCTCCTTGTAGAATAAGAAATAAAGTAAATTGAAATTGTTTAGAGAGGAAGCTCAGTGTTTTAGTAAGCCATAGGTTCCTTACTCATTTGAAACCCCATAATTTCTGTGTAGGCTGCAGATAGCGTATAGATGTAGCATATATATTTTAGACAAGAATTTTTTTATTAGATCTGGTTGTGTAAATATATTACAATGCGCTTCCTTTTTTCATGTAAGGCATTTCCTGTTTTGTTTGAGAGTTCTGTGTCTTAAGTTTTAGCAGACAAGTACTTGAGAGTAAGGTGAAATTGCTGAATATATTCTGTAAGCATTTAAAGTTAAAAAGAGTCTCATAGAAGAGAGCTGATTTTTCATGATAAAGCCATCAGATCAGCATAATATAGCTGTCTTGCTATGTTGATCTGTGGTACATTTTTTTGGATAATCAGAGTAAAATAAGTTAGAAATTGCAAATCATTAGTGAAGGCAAGTGGCAAAGATACATCTGAGTCTAACAAAACTTTACTATATGTATTTTTGTTTTAAGTTGTGCATAGCAATAATTGGGTCCATTTTTAGAAATTATTATTATTATTATTCACATGGTTCAGATGACTATATTTTAGTTTAGTACAAGACTTACATCTGCATTCCTCTCTCTGTCCTCCAGCATGTGAGAAGGGGTTTGGAAGCTTTTGGTTGTCCGTCATTCTCAGCTTTGTGTTGCATCTCAACCTGGATCATGTCCAGACACAATTAAGAGAGCTAATTATGACCTATAAAGCACCGTGTGGCTTGTCTCCATGTATGGAGGAGATTTACAGATGCCGTGAATTGCCAAGAAAAATAATTAAGTGGGTTCTAGATCAAATGAATTTTGAATTCTCACTAGAAGCTAAAATGAGGGCCTGGCATGCTCTGGTCCATGGGGTCACAAAGAGTCAGACACGACTTAACGACTAAACAACAACAATTTATGACAGGGCTTTTCGGAGGTGATTAATTCATAAGTTCACCCTAATTTGGAAATGATTTGTTCCAAAAGTTCATCCAAGGCTTTGGAACATCCTTGTTGGGAAAGAGCAGGTTGATTTCTTCTCTGTTAATTTTCCAGCAACAGCCCAAGAACAACTTATTCAAGTAGTCACTTGGCAACTGACTTTACAGTAGAAAGGGCTTTAATTTGGTGGGGCCTTTTTTCTGTTGTGTTTAAAACCTTTTATTCTTGTATCAATTTTATGTGTTATTTTACAGTGGGGTCTTGACTTGAGAACTTAATCCGTATTGGAAGGCGGTTCTCAAGTCAAAAAGTTCTCAGGTCAAATCTGCATTTTCCATAGGAATGCATTGAAAACCATTTGATCCGTATCTGCTCTTTTCCGTCCATAGAAACTAATGGGAAGCTGCTATTCCGCCTTCGACCACTAGAGGGGGATATTTTGTTTCTTTTTTTCTAAGGTCAAGAAAGGTTCAGGGAAGGCAGGGAAAATACAGTCCAGGCAGTACAAGTGCCAGGCAGTCTGAAGACTGTCTCCCAATCCACTCTTTAAACGCTGGGAGGAGTGAGGAAGCAGACAGGCTCCCTTTTCACTGGCCAACAGTTAACTGAAAGTTCACATTTTGCACTTTCCCTGCCTCCCACGTGGGTTTTTTTCAGTTCTTAACTCAAATCTAAGTACTTAAGTCAAGTCAATATTTTCCTATGAGAGCGGTTCTTAAGTCAAAATGTTCTTAACTCGAGCCGTTTTTAAGTCAAGACCCCACTGTAATTGCGTCTGTTCAACTGTTATTGTAAGGTGTGTTAAATACCATTCTTCAGGAAAAGGTGGGCTGTAGATCAAATTCACTTGCTAATCATGCAGAGAGTTCACTAATACAAGCTAACTTTGCAAACTGTGGTTCGTAGGTGGTTTGTTTAAGAGCCATAGTGAATACTAAATTTTTCAGACTACAGCATTGCGTAAGTTAAAGTTTCCAATTTCGTTGTTGCGGTAGATGGGGAAAGAAAATACAGAAATGCCTTGAACTAAACTGGCCGTTACTTTATTTCGAATTTGAGGCACTGGATAGTTCAGTAGTATCTTTTTAAAGGATCACCCATTCTTTTTGTGTGCGTGCTTTGCTCCTCAAGGAGAAATATTGGAGACATTTTACAAAAAATACAGAGACTTAGAATGGGTGCAAGTTCTTTGTATCACATCTCCTCATTGAGATTTTACCACCTGTTGAGATAAGTATTTAGCAAGTATTCTTTCCATCTCTAGGCAGAGCCAATGTTTAGTGTGATGAACATAGGTGTTTTTTGTTTGTTTATTTATTTTTTGTTTCACAACATGATACCTTATGGAGATGTCTCTTAGTGCCCATCAGGCTGCTCTACCTTCTTGCTCTTCCTGTTTTGCTTTTGTTGTTATCATAATCGTCATCATTAAATTTTAAGGCTTGGAGGCTGCCATAATAAAATAGGCATGTGCTGGCCTCCAGAATAATCTTTGTTTCCAAATATTCCTCTGGTTTTGTTCTTTGTGTGTTTTGCTTAATGTGTTGTGTTTGTATCTGCTGGGGATGTGAAAATCTGTCAGTTTTGTTGCATTGTTTTCCTGCATGGAAACTTGTACATATTTTGGTAAATGTTTTTCCATATACACGAGGAGCCTCGTGGCGCAGTGGTTAAAACGCTGTACTGCAGCTAAAACTGTGCTCACGACCTGGGGTTCAAATCCCAGGGCATGGAAACTTGTACATATTTTGGTAAATGTTTTTCCATATACTTAGGTATTTTTCCTATTGACTCAATCATGGTTTTGCCAGTTTTCAGACATACACATTTACTTGTGTAGAATTGTAAAAAAAATGGACATGGTTTCTACCACATGACAAGAAATGTAAAGACACACATTTCCTGGTGTTAGTATTACAAACTATGGATTTATTGTTTATATGTTTATGTGCTATTTATGTTTTGCCTGAGATCTTTTATACTTTCTGATGTGGGCATATTCTGTGTTTCTCTGAGCACCAGCTTGCCATCTTTGATAAACACCTTTATCTTGTATTTGGTTTTGTGGCTCAGTTAGTTGTCTCAGATTAATCAATTTATGCTTTGGGAGATGGATGGGTGTTTTGTGACTTGCCATATCCATCATGGTAGCCTTTTCTTTAGTGGCCACAACACACTCAAAATTCTATCTGTCAGCTTTGTTGGTATATGCCTGTTGAGAATAGGAGTTGTATTTATCATCACACAATGCCAATGAGAGACTCTTGTAGAATACTACCGTGTTTCCCCGAAAATAAGACAGGGTCTTATATTAAATTTTGCTCCAAAAATGCATTAGGGCTTATTTTCAGGTGATGTTTTATTTTACAGTCATGTCATCTTCTGGTTGCTGCACAATGCTGCACAATGGTGGAGGGTGGGGTTTCACTTAACTAGGGCTTAGTTTTGGGGGAGGGTTATATTACAAGCATCCTGAAAAATCATACTAGGGCTTATTTTCAGGTGAGGGCTTATCTTTGGGGAAATAGTATGAATATCAATCCTTGTTTTGTAGTTATCTTTGTACATTCTTGTTGACTATTAGTATTGTATCTACAAAAAAAATCCAAACAAAGATGCTGCAGGTCAGAAATGAGACAAAGTTTAGCCCTCTTCAAGGGAGCCAGACACGTAAAATCTCCTCTTCAGGTCTGATGGCTGTTACTGATTTCCTAGTGGTATTGGAGTGATGGTGGGTGTAGGGTACATCCTGTTAACACCATGCCTGGAACCCTGTTCTTGTGTTCAGATTATTGTGAAGTAGGGTTTTGGGTGCTTTTGGCAGGAGTACTGCAGTTATTGAAGATTCAGATTTGTGCTTTGGGGATGCTCCTGGATTTGGCTGATGGCTGTGTGAGAAGAGTGGCCAGGAGTCCTTTATCCAGATTACGGTGCTGCATCACTAACTGTTCCTATTCCCGAGGAGATAACATTTGGCTATGATAAAATTGATTTAATTTTCTCTGCTTTGGATTATTGCAGTGTATTGTACATGACACTATCTTGGAAGAGTTTTTAGAAAGCTTGGTTGATCCAGAATGAGCAGCAAGGATGCTGGTAGTTATTAGCATTTGGGATAATGTTGCTCTTTTGCTGAAGTAGGTGCATTGGTTGCCACAGCTTTTTCCACTGGGCAGACTTCATAGTTTGGCAAATACTTTTAAAGCATTAAATGGTTTGGGTCACAGTTACCTTATGGACAAGTTCTTCCCATATCAACCTGCCTGCTGTTGTGATGGATACAGTATTGTCTGTATCAAGAAGTGATGCCTTCTCCCATGCTTGCACCCAGATTATGGAAGAGCTTGCCACATGAGGTCTCGCTGACTCTTTTTTGTTACTTCTTTCCACCAGATGATAATTTTTTCCTGCTTTCACAATCTTTTGCCCTTTGGAGACAAGTTATTATCTATTCTTCATTGTGGCATCTGTGAATGCCTCCACTGTATTTTGTTGTCTTTCATTTATATAGTTTTGTATAGGTGTGTGTATGACAAAAATGTTTATATTTCTTCCCTTTTGGGTTCTTTTGAGGGGGGATACTTCTTTCAGTTTCATGTTTGTTTGGTTTTGTGTGTGTGTGTGTTTGTGTGTGTGTGTACCAGTCCTTTTGTTTTACATGAAAGGGAAAAGCCTTTTGGATTATTCATTTCATATTTCCTTGGGAGTCCAAAACCTCAAAACATCCCTTAAAAACTACTCCAAAAAAGCAGAGGCAATGCAACAGAGAATCAGTCTAATAAAAAATCAGGCAGCAGTACATGAAAAAGTAGAATAACCATCAGACCTATGCAGACACTTATTATGACCTTTTTTAAAAATGAGTTCACTTCCACCTACTCAGCACAACAAACCCTTTGGGCTTAGACAACTGAAAAAAGGGAAGGTGCAGCTAGTCAACCAGTGATTGGTTGCCTATCACTCAGAGTTACCCATTTACGAAAGCAGCCAACAACAACATGCCACGAAGACCAAGAAGGGAAAAAGTCTTCCAGCTGTGCCCAACCAACAAAAAGCAGCCAACCATGTAACCAAGCAACAGTAACAATGTCCACTTCCCTATCCCACTACACCCCCTGTAAGCAAACAAAACTTACACCTTTAACAGTATGAATACATAACGGGCAAAATCCTCTTGTGTATCTTCATGGGCATAACTCAATGTTGCATCTATGATAGCTGGAAAAGCCCCAAAGTGGAAGTGCTATCTGTGAAACATTTCAGGTGTCACATTGCTCTACAGTAGGAATTGGAATTGTACAATTGATCTCGTGATCCCTGTTGTTGCTGTATAATGCCCAGCACATTTATGTAAGTGTAACTTTACATTGCCCCTGCATGAACAGGATTTTGTCCAGTAAATTAACCAAATAACAATTTAAAGAAATGCATCAGAGAAAGCACTCACCACAACAGAACAAATACACAGTGAAATATACCAGGTAAAATGGTAAAATAAAAAAACACACACAGCATTCCCTCTCACAAAACCCAAGAAAAACAAACAAAGCCTCCCCCCTCATCAAAATACCAGTCATAAGGTAGCTGCCAGAATATGGGGAGAATCTCCCACTCATGGAACTTGATGACTTTTCTTTGAGAGCAAATGGCAGACAAGGCAGCAGCAAAAATAATCAAAAGAAATGGGGATTGGGGGAAATCCTCTAATAAAAAAGAAAAAGAAAAGACAAAAAAAGGAAAGGATTCAAGATGGATGCACAGGTCAGCAGGCAGGAATCTTAGATGTAGGGCATCAGGAGCTCAGCACACAGTTTTGGCTGAAGCAGATAGCACTCTGGGTTCCAGGCCATTCTACAAATTCAAAATTCTCACCTCTTGCACATTTTAATCTGCTGCTGACAGCCTTGTGATGGTATTGGATTATGAAAATTGTAAATTATTTGACATACAAAGGCACTAAAAATTAGGCAATGCCTTGGAAACTCTCCTTCAGCAGTCACCAAAATAACATGAATTACATGAAATAGAGCCTCTTTGGTGTTTTGTGGTATTTTGTTTAGATGTGAAAGGCCAATCCCTAATTTTGTAGCCTGAGAACTGTGATTGTCCGAGTAGAAAGTTGTCTATAAATGAAGCATAAAATGCAGGTGAAAAATGCATCTCTCATATTCGTGAGTCATAGCTCTTTTTAAAAGCTCTTATGATCTGTAGCTCCTGATTGAGCCCTGCTCTTCAGCTAGCTTCATAATATCATATCCTGCTGTTAATGTTAAAATCTGTTAGGCTGCAGTGATGTTGTTTGGGGTCTGAGAATGCATCAGAAGTTTTCTACACATAGTTATCTAGTTCTGAATTGCAGTGATATGAAAAGAAAAACTTAATTGTGATGTGCTTCATCATATTTTTTATATCAGACCTGCATAACTATCATGCCTGAAGCTAGAGTCAGCTTAGCAATCAGATATGGTGAGCTATCAGTGACATAACTAAAGTTTACTTAAGCGCTACCTGTTCTAGTAGTCTACAAGAAAAGGAATGTTAATTTTTGATGGACCTCAATAAATTGCTACTTGGTTACATTTGGACACAAATATTTCAGCTACCCCCCGGTCTGCGGCCGAGACAGACTTCCCCCCACCTCTGCATGCACTCTCCCTGCAAAGCCCTATTGTGCCTGCGCCTGTGTGAGCGCTCCCCCACCCCTTCGTGCATGCACACGAGTGCTCCCGAGTGCCACCCTTTGCACACGAGCGCCCTCCCACTCCTTTGCACATGCGCAGGAACATGGGGGGATTTAAAAAGGTTGGGGACCACTGGTCTACACTGGTATGAATCCTATAATCACTTTCAATATGTTACTTAATAGCTGCTGTGTTATTTAATAGTAGCACTTAATAGTAATCGGATGCTTAATCAGTGTTTCTGTTTTATAGTTGCACAGTATCCTTTTGAAGACCATAACCCACCACAGCTGGAGCTGATCAAACCTTTTTGTGAAGATCTTGATCGATGGCTCAGTGAAGATGGCAATCATGTTGCAGCAATCCATTGTAAAGCTGGAAAGGGACGAACTGGTGTAATGATTTGTGCATATTTGTTACATCGAGGAAGATTTCAAAAGGCACAAGAAGCTCTAGATTTCTATGGGGAAGTGAGGACCAGAGATAAAAAGGTGAGAACTTTGCTTTTGCAACTCATCCATTTTTCCTTTGTTTATAAGTTGTGTAAAATGTCTTTAACATATGTTTTTGGTATTTATGTACTATGAATGTACTATTTTAGTGTGGTTTTGGAGGCTGATATAGCTGCCTGGCCAGAAATCTGTTGTCATTAGGAAAATACAAGTGTATATTTTTTTTTTACTTCCAATTATAACAACAGAGAACCTGCAAATTTTTAACAGTTCTTATTTCAGAATGCTGATAGCTTTAAACAGAGAAAATGTGAATTGTTAGTCCTTGCCAAACAAAGTGGCTATTACCAGTTCCATGGAAAGTAGAATTCTCTTTGTAGTATATCCAATTTTAGCCAGTCAGCAAGTCTTCTCATTTCTTTTAAGTGTAATAGCTCCTCTAGGAAAAAATTAACTACCTATAGAAAGCCTCAATTTCTGAAGCCCGTGAAGAAAGGATCAATTTAAAGAGATGTACTGCTGTATTTTGCAATATTATTTCTGTATAACCTTTCCCATTATTTTGCTTTCATAAAGACCTGTTAAGCCAGTTCCATATGTTTGAGAACTGCTGTTTATGAAATTCAGTAGTTTAAGTATCTGACTGTGGAGCCAGAGGTTGAGAGTTCTTTTTCCCACTCTTTCCCCTACTCCTATAGAGTAGAGCCAGCAGGGTGGACTTGTTTTTTTAATTGACAATTTAAATTTTTAAAATCATTTTTTTTATTTAAATCATTATTTGATTTTTTTTTTAAAAAATGGTTTGTATCCACCCTGTTTTATTTAAATCATTATTTGATTTTTTTTAAAAAAAAATGGTTTGTATCCACCCTGAGAGGCAGCCTGTGTGGCCTTGAACAAGCTGCAGTCCCACCCCACCCCAGAAGAAGGGAGTGATATCCCACTTTCTACCTTGTACTTTCTACCTTGAAACCTTGAAAAGGATTGCCATGAGTTAGAACTGACTTGATGGCAGATGATTTTTATTTTTACTCTTTATGAAATAAGGGACAAGGACCAGCAATATCGCTTTGATTGTAGCTGCATTGTGTTCACACAAGTAGATATATATACATGGATATTTGAACGTAAGAAGATTAATTCAATGAGTTGGTTACTTCACTGTGGAGCCAGAGGTTCGTAGTGCAATTCTCCACTCTGCCTGCTAGGAGAACAGCAAGCTTATGTAGCCCTGGGCAAACTGTATAGTCCAAGAGCATCTCCAGAAGAGAATAGTAAGCCTTTTCAGAGTACCCTGTACCCAGAGAACACTGCAGAGGATGGCCACAAGTTGGAATAAACTTGATGAAACTTAATTATTATTTTATGAATACAAGATTACAAATATCGTTATTTGCCTGTTAGTATATTTAGAGACTTCAGACATGTAATGTGTTAGTGAACAACATGACAGGTAATAACAGTAACAAAAACATGTTGTTGTGCAAGACAGATGAATTGTGGCATCCTGATGAAAATAAAATTTTACTTGTATTTCATATTGAGTAGGAAGATGTTTAAGGCATTTGTATTTCTCAAGGGTGACAAGTAGTGTGGATGGGTTTTGCATGACGTCGCATCTATTTTCTACTACACATAAAGTATAACTATGTTGATCTCTAGTTCACAGTATTGAAAAGCAACTGTACTTGTAAAACAAATAGTTCCATGCTTCTGAAGTACCTAATTTTTCTAATTGTAACAGTTTGAAGTCTTCAGTGGACTCTTTCAAAGGTATTACTGTATGTATCCAATTGATACTCATTGGATATATGTAGAATAAGAAAGTAGGACATGATTTTCCCCCTGAATGTTAGCGTGAAACTTTGGAAATTATATTCCATTGCATATTGAAAAGCCTGTGGCTTCCTTTTTGGCTTATTACACAGTACAAAATTTGGGTTCTGTAATGTGTATGAATTTGCTCATCCAGTAGAGGAGAAGGATCACCTGACAAAGTGCTGTAATTGCCCAGGGACACTCAAATATGTTCACAATCCCCATGTTCTTTGGGGAGGCTCCTTTCACATTCCCCATATATGAAGCAGTGATTAGCTTACAGTTAATCTCATTGGTTTCTAAATATGAATTGACAATCTTACTTTACTATAATGTAAAATATTCTAAGATAAATGTAAAATAGGAATTGTAAAACTGATTAGCTTTCTGAATCTGTACTTAATAGAAAATTTGATAATGCTTAAATAAATGCTTAATAAAAAGCATGCTATTTTATGGGAACAGAATCATCTATATTAAAATTGTTGAACTATGCTCTATTGCTATATAAGAAATTCCATTATGTTATTTTTGGGGAATGAACATCGTAATTGCAATATGTTGATTGCTAGGATGCAGTTTCAAGTACAGTGGTGCCTCGCTTGATGACGTTAATCCATTCCAGCAAAATCGCTGTAGAGCAAAATCGTTGTCAAGCAGGGGGAAAAAAACCATTGAAATGCATTGAAAACCACTCAGTGCATTCCAGTGGGCTAAATACCTAATCGTCCAGTGAAGATCCTCCATAGGGCGGCCATTTTCCAGTGCCTGTACAGTGAAAAATCCGTCCTAATCCCAGCGGGGAGCCATTTTGCACAGTGGGCGGCCAGTTTGAAACCCGACTTTCAGCTGTTTTTAGATTGTCGTAATGCAAAGAATCAATTCCCAAAGCAGGGAACCGATCATCATCAAGCAAAAAATCGCCCATTGAAACACCGTTTTGCGATTGCAAAAGCAATCGCAAAAACCTCATTGTCAAGTGGATTTGTCGTTTAACGAGGTAATCGTTAGGCGAGGCACCACTGTATCATTAGCTTCTGTTCCATCATCACAACTCACAGATCACTTAAGTCCTTCTGCCTCTCAGATAGCAACATAGAATGAATTTTGATGTTCATAAACCAAGAGGGGTCACATCCAAATAAGGCTTCCTAAGAAAGAGCAGTCAAATCTAGTACAGACTAGCAGTTTTGCAAATAGTATTTCTGACTATATGAAATTTTTCATCTGTGCTCTGTTTCCAGCAGCTCTACGTTAAGCAGGTGGTTTTCTTTGCATATAGCTATCATACGTTATACCTTGTGACTCAGTGGACCCTTTGTATTACAGAGTGGCTAAAATCTAGTAATAAGTTTCAACTGGACTACGCCCACTAAATGATTGAAACTTGCAGAGGAGTTGAGTCACCAAATCCTCACTGAATCAATGAGCCTTCTCTAATTGCAAGTTACCACTGGATTTCAGTCAATCTCATGATTTTGTTGTTGTTCCTTGGGCACAACACAGTAGCCTTCTCAGTTGTCCATTTTTTTGCTTCATAAGTTACCAGTTTACATTTCAAAGAGGCTTATTGCCTGTCCTAGCAGATCAAAACAAAGTTTTTAAAGAAAGCCAGTATTCTACAGTGTCACACAGAGGTTCGGAGATCCATTTCTGGTTTATTGTGTGCAGAGGTATGTTATAGTTTTAACATAATGTCAAAGAGCAAATCTTTGTTCATCGGGATATAGTTACCTATATCTATCTTTTGGTATTTATACCTATTGTATCTCTGGGTCCTGAAAAAGGCTTATCACTTCAATATTGCAGAGATACACTTTTGTGTCCTCTTTGTGGACTTCATTATCATTTTAAAATTCCTATTTTGCCTCTCATGCCAGATGGGAAGTTTATGAAAATATTTACTAGTGCTGGGAAACCTTCCTTCCACAAACATTGTGTGTCCTAAATATAATTTTTTTTCTCTGTTTATATTTCTTGATGAGGACTTTCAGGTCAGACACTTCACAGAAATTGATTTAAGCACTTTGACTTGCTCTTATTTCAGATATCAGGGCATGATAAAATGTGATAGAAACAATGAAAACATGTCTTAATTTTTTAAAAAATCATAGAGAGTAAAACAGATAAGGTATTACTCAGACCACACTCCTTGAGAAGTAAATGATCTGTGTTTTCAGTCAGAGTGCATGTAGTAGCATGTTGAGCTTTCCATAGGTCTCTAAACAACACACCATTGTTCACATACCATAATGAAAATGTTCTTGACATTCTTTAGCTTCCTTTCCATAAAGCAGTCCAAAATACTGTAGCTGGACCTGGTTCCTTATTCTCATATCAGTTATTGGACAAAACAACTTACCAAGACAAATTATCTTTCTACAAAGTTGCCATCACAAAAGTTAACTGTTTTGATGGCCCCTGCATCAGTCAACTCCCGGCTGTGCTTATCAACTCTCCTTACTTACAGCATTTGACAAATAGCATTATGTTTCAGAATTATGCTTTTAATCAGTAATTGTTTTTCTGTTCCTTACCAACCAATACTTGTCAGTGTTTGTCTCCTCTGACATAGCTGTGGAAAGGGGATGCTGCAGTTTTTAATCCGGACAATCTTCAGTTGCATTATTCTGGGCTCCTTTATGGTAATAAAGTTAAAGAATGCCATGAGCAAGTGCCGTCAGCAGTTTTCCTAACCAGCTGCAGTATGCACCTGAAATACCTGACTTCTCATGAGAAAAACCTGGATGGGTCAATGGTGCATTCTGACTAAAGACTGTTGTTGGTGCTCTCACCTGGTCATGACCTGTCTTAACAGTATGCAGAAATACAAAGTGTATCTGAAGAAGTAGATTATGATCCACAAAAGCTCACAGTGAAATAGACATCTTTAAAGTGCCGCAATATTTTTGCTTCAGGGTTATTGTTGTTGTTTATCATTTAATTTTGGCAACTTTCTGAGACAAATTAATGTGGGTACCATGGTGCCTCGCTTTATGATTGCCCCACATTACGCCAAAACCGCGTTATGATGATCTTTTTGTGATCGCAATTGCGATCGCAAAACGATGGTCTGAATAGGGGTTTTTCACTTTGGGATGTTCGGTTCCCTGCTTTGGGAACCAAATTCCTGCTTCGGGAACCGATTTTTCTCAAAACGACAATTTTCGGACAGCTGATCGGCAGTTTCAAAATGGCCTCCGGGTAAATAAAATGGCTCC